TCTGCACCCACCCCAAGCTACTTAGATTTGGGTTCCCAAGCACAGCTCCCAGCACTGCCAAATGTCTGTGCAAGTGGGATCCAACCTATAAGCACAGGGCTTAAAGTAAGCCATGTGATCATAGAATGGGTCCCACAAATGTAAGTTTAAAAAAATTCAGGCTACTGGAGTAATTTTTACAAAGCTTATCTTTGATTTACATTAAAGATTGGAACTCAAATATAAAAAAGGAGCAAGACCAAATGGTACAATTAATAGGGTGATGCAAGCACACCAAGGTATCACAGTCAAATTATGGAACAAATTTAGAAGTCCTTAATCACAATGAACAGTGGCTTGTAAGGCACCTTATTGCTGATATTATTAAAGGGACTGACAACTGTGTTCCTTACAACTGCTGAGTGGAGAGGAACCAGACACAGCTGTCTGTAGAAAGGAAAAGCCAGATTTTGATACCGTAACTCACTTAATATCATTCATTTCCATGAATTGTCCCAATAGTGTCAAGGTGCCACTAACTGAAGTATAGGTAGCAAACTCTTCATGAAACCTTAAGATTTTACTACCCATATTAGGTATTTTTTGAACATGAAAAAAAATTATTATCTGGTTTTAATTAAGTTCATTCAACTGAGACCTGTAACTACTTCATTTTGCTAGGTTATCACAATAAAAACAAAATAGCTGTATTAAAAAATATCCTTATTTGACTACTGCAGCAATTGCAAAGCTGCAACATAAAATACCAGAAGTAAGGTAAGTGTTTTATTCACAGATCTAGAATATTATAACAAAAAAAATCACACAACAAAAAATGTCTGTTGTAAAAACTAGAATTCAGAGAACTTTGTAGACAACATGGGAAATGTGAAAGGGTGGTTTTTGCATTCATACTTATTTATTGTTAAAACAAGATGAGCAACTAATCGACACCTGATCAAATCATGCAAGAAAGAATTGCATTATGGAAACTTACACTTTTGGACATTATGAGTGAAACAGAAATTAATTTGTGGGAGAAGCTTCAGAGAGAATTATGAGAATGTGTGTACTGGTTCTTTAAATTAATATCAGAAAGTCAGTGGGGAGGGGGTCTGGAAAAAAGTTAAAAGAAAAAAACACTATGCAGTGGAGCAGAGAGAGAAAGTTGCTTTTGCAGAACAGTGTTTTCCTTAGTCTAATAAAATCCCTTGTTCAATGTTTAAAAAAAAAGGACTCAATACTGAATTCTTCATCGTTTTTCATGTGACAGATAGTCAGGCTTTTTCACACAAATCTTTTAAACTTTGGGAGCTGCAAAAAACAAAACCAAAAAAACCCAAGACAAACCAAGATGTTAGCTCAAGGGACCATGGGTAAGCAGCGAAAAGAAGCATCAGTTCTTACTTTGGTCATATCTTTCTTTGGGGTAACTCAAAGAGCAATGAGTCTATTGTTTGAGATGCAAGGGAGATAATATTGTCTGCTATTCTATTCAGTCACTTTCAGCAGGCCAAATCCAAGATGTTGAAAAGAGATTAATTTCCTCATGGTGTTCAAGAAAAGTAGTGACAGAAATATTACTCTGGATCTTACTGTGTTCAAGTTTGTGTTTCCTTACAACCTTTCCTTCTTTTCTCTTAATATCAGTAGCCAAGATTGCCTTCTCAGTCCAAGTTATCAGCAAGAACAACTTTAGTTGCAAGAAACTATCTGTATTTCTGTGTGCCAGGAAGAGACTACAGGAGAAAAGCAGGGCGTAATAGGCTTGACTCTAATTTCATTTACTCTGGTATAAATGAGGAATTATCCTTAGTGAAGTCAGATGAAGAATCTCATCTAGTGGTGTAATGCAAAATTTTTCACATATGAGAATTCATAAGGAATTGCACAAAACTCTGGAACCTGTTTGTGAAAACGTATATGTAACATAGTTGAATGTTTAGCTTGCTAAAGAATTGGTTTGCAATATCACCACCAGATGGTGGTATTATTTATTATTGACCTCTGTGTGTACTGTCTTCCTGAACCAAGAAAAAGAAGAAACTAAATTATAACTTTGTGCACTACCTTTAAAACAACACAATTCCTACATATTTATTACTGAATACTATATCATTATAAACACAGATTAGGTGTAATGAAGTTCTGATACCATCACATGATAGATGGTCATGACTATGTTGTGCTTCATTTTTTAATGACATATACAACATGATCATGAATATTTTTAGCTTCTGTAAACAAAAAAGACTTCAAAAGTAACGGAAGACTCCCAAGCAAATATGATGGTCTCATGGGAATGTGAGAACTTGTCCTTTTGAAATGGAAGTTGTTTTGGGGCAGATATAGGCTGTCCTGCATGTTTATACTGCACCTACCACAAGGGAGACATTCACTGTCATTATGTATATGGTTGTTAGTAGAACAAAATATAAAACAACCACCACCATCACCAGTTTTCAACACTGTCAAATGATAGTGCTGAGTTGACTGTTCCTTAGCAAGGAAATTGGCTGTTTGATCAAGAATCCTTAACAGCAGCAGTAAGGATTGTTGGTGATACATCTCAAAATTGATCTTTCCTTACATAAATATCCAAACCAATACAATACAATACAAAATGTTTTTAGCCTGCCTTCAGCATGTTGCATTCTTGGATTCTACTTTCTTTTACTAATCCATAGAAAGTATTGTAAAGGATTATGGGCAAAGTAAGCATCTTGCAGCCAAATCCTGAGCTGGTGTTAATTGGCAGTGTACCCATGAGATGAGTAGAGCTACAACAGTTTACATCAACTCAGGATCTGGTCCATGAAGTGCGGCTTCACAGTACAGGAGCAAACTGGAATAGCTAATATAGATAAGTGATATTTCCATCAAAATACTAGTGGACAACCACAGGTACTAGGATGGAGCAGAAAAAGAAAATAGCATATAATAATTATGAGCAGTCAACAGGCAAATGTAACAGTTGCTAAACAGTTTCTACTCCCAGTGTTTTATGGCTATGAATGACAAAGATGTGGCCTCTATTCTCTCCAGCATATTTCTGATACCTTACTGAAGTTCTAAATGTTACTGGAATAAAATTATTCTCTTGATCACTCAACTTTTCTCATTAGCTCATGCAACACATTTATTTACTATTAAGTATCATTGTTTCATAATATAGAAATAAAATTGAGTCCTTAGATTCTTCTTTGTGTGTTATTAACATTATTCATTGAGTGTTACACAAAATTGTGTTGATTTTTTCTTGGCATTACAATTCTAGAGCATCATATTTATACTGTGGATACATGAAAAGTAGCATTCGAGTGAAGGAGCTAAGTAACCCTTAATTTGACCATTTCTGAAATTGGTTTGTCTTATTACTTGTTAATGCCTCCAGTCAAATAAAGACCTTCAACACTAATAAAAGTACCCACTGTGGGAGCAGAAGTTGCAAGTTAAACTTACATAACCTGCTGCTTCATAAGAGTTCGTTCATTGTGTGTGCATCTGTCCTGAAGTTGTACTTTTCTGGTCAGAATCTGGAAAAAGGTAGCATTCATACTTATGCCAATCTGAATATCCTATATTTAAGTGCATTTAAGTGACTGGGAGCTCAGAATGTAGAAAGAAAAATTTTGGTGCTGGAACTGTAAACACCACAAAACTCATTTTTGCTATATTCTACTTTTACTAGAAATCCCACTAGAATAGTATAAATCAGTACTCTTCACAGTAAACTAAACAAATTATTTTGACATGCAACATATATTTTGACAAATCTTAATTGATTACATGTCCAATTTAGTGGCCATTCAATTAGCTAAGAAAAAAATATATCTTTTAGAATCTTCCTAATGTGCAACACATCAAACTTTCAGTTCCGTCTCCAATGCAAATAAACCATTTGAAAACAAAACTATCTTTTTTAGCTTACTGAGTTCCACAAGCATCATAAAACAGATTTAAAAGGCAAACTGACCTCAAAATAGCATTTGGTTTTGTGATTTTACTTCAAATCATTTATGTCCAGAGCTGGGCATGATGTACATTTACTTACATGAATATACTCTGTACAGAGGACAATGGTGTGAGGAAGCACAACTCCACAACAGTAAGGAACTGCAGGACTGGGTGCTATTATTAGCATATGGACACATTTCCCTATCAATCTCAAAGGTAGTTTTCTTGATTGTCAATTTACAATTCACCAGCTTTCAGTCATTATATCTACTTATATAAGAATATTTCAATCAGCCAAAAAGGAAATAAAAATACCAATCCCACTGCCTTTAAGCAGATGAAACTCCCATTTAATTTTAAGAGTAATTTTATGTCAATAAGGAATTAAGTATTATTATGCATAACTTATTATTAGGCATATTAATTCTAAGGCATACAGAACAGTATAAGGCAACTTACTACATCTTACAAATACAGTAGTCCTGATGGGAAAAAACCTTGTACAAGCTATAAATGTAGAATTGCACAGAAAATAATTTCCAGTTATTTACCTCAGTGAAAAGGGCTTGTTTCTAAATATAATTAAAGAAAAAAGCAGACAGATCCAGCTTTAAAAAAAAAGGAAACTACATATGAAATCATGCATAGGCTCTTTCTAGAGTAATATAACTTAACTGTTATGAGGTAAAACAAACGTTTAAAATTAAATCGTCATGAAAAAAGAAACACACTGTTAATAGGTCTGTGGATACTTATGCCTTTGGTCTGACTTCTATTTTACTTTTTAGTCGTTATATCTGGTGTGACAATAAAGGAATGTCACAAGTTGTCACAGCAAACAAAGAATTCAGTGTAAAACAGGGTAAAATTGCTGAATGAGTTAGCAGCAGTATTAGTAAGCCACAGTATGGAAAAAAATGCAGTATGTATCCTTTTCGATCCAATTTAATAGCAGATAAACTGTGATTAAGTTAAACATGCAATATAGAGCAAGAATTGATTAGGTTGCTTTTCATCACTATGGTAAAGTGCAGAAATATTGACTTGCCAGCTTAGTTACCTACCAGTAGTGACTGGATTTCTATCAGTTTTATCACCTCTACAAAGCAGCACCAACTCTCACATTCCAGTTACCGGAACACAAGCAGCTTACTAGGGAGAAGAGAAGACCATAAAGTAGCTGATCATAAATAATGTATAGTATGTTTTGTGCAAATCCAGTTAGTTGACGGAAGAGAAAAGAGAAGTGGTGCATTAGGGTATTTCCTGAATACTAGCTGGAATTTCAGTTAAAAAGAAGAAATGAAACAGCACTTTTAAGGGAAAAAAGCCTATCTGTGTCTTTAGTGTATTATTAACTGAAGAATCAATGCTGCAGTGAGCCTACAGGATAATGGTATGGTCATGTTAGTGGTTTCCTTTAATCACTTTATTGCTCTGTCACCACTACTTCCTTGCAAAGAGAACAAAGATAAACACCCGGATAGGATTCAGTATTCATATTAGTACAATATATTATTATTCTTATCTAGAATGGATCAGCTTCCTCTGCATTAAGATTAATAGTCCCTCAAGCATTAGAAACATCCTCAACCCAGTTCAGTGTACACCTCACTGTTCTTAAGTAATTTGCTCCTCCATAATTGATTACATTCGTTTTCCTTTTATATATCTATTATTATTATTATATATTACGTAATACTATCTCTCTCTATATATATATTATATTACTTATATAAAGAAAATATTACTAGGGAGAGTACATACTTGCCAGAATGTATGAAGCATAACTGTGAGGAGAACTGGCCCCAGATTTTAATAGGTACCATTCTTTGTTCTGCAGATTTTTCCCCTCCTTATTTTTCTACTGTAGATTCCTCTGTCCTAGTTGTATTTGCACAATATGCACAAATCCTCCAAATATAGTGCAAGACTACTTTTCCCATAGACATGCCACTAATTTGAAGTGCAAAATTTCCATTGTCACTCCCAAATCTGAATTTCCAGTGTAAGAATTCAGTATGTCACATTAATGCTCCAGTTTTCAGCCCAGCTAAATTTTACCCACATTTTCAATTCCTGAAGCAAGACTTTCATGTTAACTACTAAAGTTTCATTTTCATTTCCAAAGGTTCAGTTCACATTACTGTAGATTTTTCTGTCTTCAAAAACATTTTAGTGCAGTTGAGTTGACAGTTACGTTTGACAAGGCGAGTGAATAGAGCACGTTGAACTCTCTCACCAAAACACTTCACCTTCTGCCTGAGGAAGGTCTTCATAAACCCTGAATAGAAGAAATGTGTAGCAATATCAATGGAAAGTACCTGAGTCACCTTTGATTTGCAGATGATATTATCATATTTGCTGGAAAGTTT